GGGAGGTGACAACGCCTATAAGAAAAAAAAAAACACAAACACACACACCAAAAAAAAAAAAAAGAAAAGAAAAGAAAAAAGAAAAACAAAAAAACAACCAACCAAACAAAAACCCTCTCCAAGAAAGAAATGAATAGCAGCACTGCTGAGGTGGGGGAGGGTAGGGAGAGGTTGAGAGTGGCTGCCCTTTCCTCTTTTTTCCCACCCTTGCGTGTAGTACAGGGTCAAGAGCAGAAAAAGTGAAGGGCTGGGGCCAGCAGAGGGCATAGTGGCTACACTGCTGGATCCCCACATGCAGGCCCCCAGACCTGGTGGCTTGAAACTCATGCCGACACGTGTGTGCATGCCCAAGATCTTGGGAAAAGAGTGGAGGAGAATGGATTGTGGCGTGACTGTTCCCCCCCACCACCACCACCAGGCATGAGCCATTTCTCACTTTCCCTCTCACTATCTCTGTCTTTCTCTCTCTGGGGAGCACATGTGCCCTCAGGCAAAAACCTCTAGAAAAAAAGTAAAAGAAAGAATGAAAAGCTATCAGCAATTGGGTTGATAGTCAGGACTAGGATTGGAAATATTGGGCGATTCAAGACTTACTACAGTGAGAAAGCAAAACTCTATTTTATAACTCTACTATTTTCATTTTTTCCCACTGAAATTGTTTTAATGTAACCATCCCAGACAAGCACAAAGAAATCAGTTTTGTACTTCGTGCTATTCCACCTTTAACTTTAGTTTTAATTTTCCTTGTTCTTAGGGTTTACTGAGGTGAAGGAAAATGGACATAAAACATTAGGTGTATCATAGAAAACTTAAGAAAATTTAAAATATAGTTATTTTATGTAACTATAAAATTTTGGAAAATTCAAATTACCAAACAAAAATTAGTGATAAAAGTGTACTAGGGAGGCCAGTGGGTGGCAGAGTGATAAGGCACTGGGCTCCCATGTAGCCGACCATGGTTCGACTCCTGGACTCAGTGACTTGAAACTCATGCCCGGTCTGTGTGCGTGTAGGCCCACAAACCTCAGAGGGAAATGAAGAAGGGATTGCAGCGTAGCTATCCCCCAGGGGGTTTGATTTCTTGATTTCATTTTCTGTCTCTTGGTCTTGTCTCTCTCTATGGTAAGTGTACATGTCCTATAGCAAAAGTCTCTCTCCTAAAAAAAAGTACCATGAATAGAATGAAACCTTTTATTATTAGATGAGATTCCATTCTAGAAGATGTATAGATGTGCCCAAAAGTTGCATTAGCTCATCTTGCTCCCAAAGTTGGAGGAAACCGACTTCTCAGTTGTTCCCCTTTATATCTCCCCAGTGGGTAAGTGCAGCGTGAGTACTCATTCTTGCTAAGATACACAGATACTTGAAAACCTTAACACCCATTCAGAACAGACAAGACAAGTGTCGGGAGAGCTGAGCATGTTACCTATAAAATAGTATACCTACCATAATATATCTATAACATTTATTTTATACCCATGAAATACCTGCTGCCACTTACTAAGGGCTCCTCTTTCCCCAGTAAATCGCTAAGCTGCTCTTGGTACTCTTTACCTATCTGCTTCTTATCTCTTTATCTGCATGGTTGAATTGCAAATAGATCATACACTGTACTTTCTGAGTGCTTTATATTGCTTTGCAATTAGTGTTATCATGTGCATCTTTTCCATGTTAGCAATCATAATTTTCTAATGTTCCATAGAAACCATTTGATAGTTCTACAGTAATATATTTAACAAATGAGTTACTCAAACTAATTATTTTTTTGCCTTTATAAATAATATAAGAAACATCTTTTTATGAAATATCTCTGTATGCTTACTATCATACATGTAGGACACTATTTTTAGTTTTGTTGTTGTTGTTGTTGTTGCCATAGGGTGTGTGTACTCATCAGAGGGAGACAGTGACAGGGAAAGTAAGAAATCACCACTCAGGAGGGATGACCATGCCACAATCCCTTCTCCTCCATCCTCCTCCTTGGGTTTTGGACACATACGTACATGCATCTGGGATGATTTTCCAGCTGCCAGGTCCAGGACCTGAACCATGGTCAGCCATGTGGGAGTCCACCATGCCACCTGCTGGCTCCAGTAGGACAAATTTTAAGAAGTAGAATTAGTAGGTCAAAAGAATATGCCTTTTTCTTTCAGATTCCAGAATTTTTGTTAAAGAATACTTCTCACTGCTGAGTAATATGTGTAACATGCATATAGAAAAGTAAATATCATCATAATTGCATAGCTTGATGAGTTCTCACAAAGTGAATGCACCAGTGAATGCACTGAAGATAAGAGTCAGAATAGTTCCAGATATTCAGAAGCTACATTCATATCTTCTATTATCCTTCTGAAGAGAAAATACTTCCTGTCAACTAAAGCTATAGATTTTTGTAGCTTAGTTTTGAACTTTATATCAACAAAATCATATAATATGTAATCTTGTTTATGCCCTCTTTTTGGTACACAGGTTTAAAATATTTGATAGTCTAATGGAGTTTTTTGGTTTGTTTGGTAGTTTAGCCTACTGAGATAGAAAGACTCTCAGCTGGGTGTCCTCATGCCGCATCACTCCCCCCTCCTACCGTCCAGTGAGCGGGATCATTGCACCTACTCAGGATATTTTAGGTCAATCCTGGATCTGAACCTTGGTCCTCACCTGGCTCCAACATTGTGGAGTAAGGCCCTAAGGCCTACACTGCTGTGGCTGGGCTTGGAGATACTTTATTCCTTATATATTGTTCAACTATCAGCATAATTTGACACCGCCTTGCCATGTTTTTCCCCTTTCTTTTTCACGTGACAATAATTTCCTGGCTTTCCTCTTATATTCCAATTGTTCTTTCTCCTATTCCAGAGCCTTCATCCTTTGTTCATCTTAAAGTTTTGATGTATTTAAGGTCCAGTCCTAAACAATCTCAGTCAAACATGCTGATAACTCCTAAACTTATATTTCCATGCCAGACAACTTTTCTGACCTTAAGACTCAAATATCCAACTTGATCCTATCACTCGCAGTTTTCAACACTCAACAACTGAGAACTGAACAATTTTCCCTTTTCCCAATTGCCCCTGATCTGGCACTATTCCAGTGTATCTAATTTCATTGTAACATACCATCAGTTATGGGTTTCATAACACAGAAATCTAGGAGTCAGTCTTGCTATTTCTCTACCACCATAGCCTACATCCACTAAAGCGCACAGTCCTAACAACTTTTCCTTCTAAATAGCTCAGGTGACTGCCCACTTCTCACCATCATCATTGCCAGCATTCAGATCCAAGCTATGATCATCTCTTGCTCAGACTAGAGTCTCCCAACTGTGTTCTAAGCAGATTGATATACTGCTTAAAATCCTTCATTGGTTTTGGGGTCAGCAGATGGCATAGTGGTTACATCACTGGATTCCCACATCGTGGATGGTGGTTCGAGTCCTAAATCTGGTGGTTTGAAACTCACAAAAGGCTCACATGCGTGCATGTGTGCTCAAGATCCCAGGAGGAGAATGGAGAAGGGATTGTGGAATGGCCACCCCCACTGATGGTGATTTCTCACTTTTCCTCTCACTGTATTTGTCTGTCTGTCTCTCTCTCTGGTGAGTGCAAGTGCCTTAAGGAAAAACAAACAAACAAAAACAAAAACTTCTGGAAAAATAAACCAAATGAACAAAAAAATCTTTATTAGTTTGTATGCTTCACTGAGGAATCTTCCTAAATCTACAAATAAGGCCCTTCATTTGGCTAGCCCTTCCTATTGTTTGTGTTTCTGTCTTCTCCTGACTCCAGACCATTTCTCTCACACTCTTAACAGCATCAGAAACAGGTTTGAAAGCTGAATAACTATACCCAACATGGTCATCTGGAAGGAAAAAGTAAGAAAAGAAGGTGATGAGTATGCTGGGTAGAAAAAGAAGTCTTTCAAACGTGGGCTCCATTGTTGGGATGGAGATGGAGGTGGAAAATTCAGAAAGCAATGCACAGAAAAATAATCACCTTCAAAAAGTTTCAAGCTGAGGCTTTGGAATCCAACAAATCTAGATTCTGACCTTGACCTTGGCCACTTAAAGCCTGCATAACGTTGTAAATCATACCTGCAAGTGAGAATTCCCACAATAAGACAGTACCTTATCCTTCACAAAGATTAAATTATACACACGCAGTGTTCAGTAAATTATCGGAACATAGCTAAGTATTAAGTAAAGGCTGAGGATATTATTAAAAATGAACTAAAGATAGAATAATATTGCCGTGTATCAGGCAGGAGTAGCCCATACTTAATCAACACTAGAGATAATGAACATCCTTGGGACAGAAACTAGATCATAGTCTCCCAAGGGTTTATGGTCTCTGGTTACTTAAACTCTTCCATCTGGCACCAAGGGTAAGTTTCCAGGTAACCACTGGCTTAGAGATGACCTAAGTATATATTTACTCTAAGGGAGTTTCTTCTTTTTTTTTTTTTTTTATCAAAATATGCTTTACTTTAACTAGTTTATTTCCTTTTTCTCAGAATAAATACCTGAAGTTTGGACTTCCTTTATCTTTGTAGTTAGAATGTTTTTACGTCCATAGGGATACACGTATTTTCTGTATGACTAAGTCGACTTTATCCAAGCTGGACAAAGTTAGCCAGTGTTTACACCTGCTTTTATCGCAAATGGAGAGCAGTTAGTGATGTCTGTCTCTTTCTGTACTGTCCTTGAATGATACACATGGGTAAGCAATTGGAACCCATGCTAAAAATCAATGACAAAGATAAGAGATAATTAAGAGTGTTTATTTAACCATTTAAATTTTCTTTATAAAAAGAACACAGGATTTAGGGAAAAGAATAGCTTGAAATCCAAATAATAGTATTTTGGTTTGATCTCCAGCACTATTTACATAGAATATAATCTTGAAGAAGTCATTTAATTTTCCTGGTCCTTGAATTTTTCATATATCGTGAAAATATTAAAGTTTATTATTTTGTAAAAATTCTGAGTACATAGGCATACAGGAAAGATGAGTGGAATTGTGAATATGTGTATATACACGCATGTGTATGCCTGTATATGTATATATGTGCATTTGTATACCCATGTGTAGACCTAAATATGAATTTTAGTTTCTTATGAAAAAGATCGTAAACAAGAAGGCTGAAGTAACCTATAGGCAAGGAGTAGTCCTATACCGACATCATCTACTTACAGAATGAAAATGTCCTTATCTTCATCCATTCAAGACAACTAAGGATGGCAACCTACTAGAAATGCAAATTCCCAGACCCTATCCCTACCTACTGAATCAGAAGCAGTTGGGAGAGGGACCCAGCAATCTGTGCTGCAATTTGCCCTCCAGGTGATTCTGATAAACACCAAAACACAAGAACTACCACATCTGAATTTGCTCAGAAGACAGCTACGGGCCTGAGTTGTAGATAGATATGAGAGCAGGAGTTAAAGGGGGAAAAAGCAGAATACTGTAGAGACCTTAGGGCTGAGGCTCTCGAAACAGAGAAGGGAACAACAGAGAGGACAGAGGAGACTTGCGGCAATAGGAGACTAGAGTGGTAGTGAAAATACAGAGCAGTTGCCCGAGCGTCAGTAACAAAGCAGTGGCCATATGCTTCTGTGTTCCATCATGTGTTTCCTTGCAGTCATTTCTGCTACTATGCTAGACACTACTGGCTTTAGAAAACTGCAGATCCTAAGGGAGAACAAAATCTCCTGTTCTCAGCCCCAGCTGCCCCTGGCGCTACAGTTACCTGATGTAGAATTCTGGGCCTGGAAACCTCAGACCGATTCTGTATGGCTTCTTTAAGTTCTTTTCAATAACCTAAGAGTCTCCTGACTCCAACTTTAATACTCCCTTATTGGTGGCTACATGTATGTGAATGTTCAGGACGACCCAGAAAATTCCAGAGTTACACTGAGCTAGAGGCGAATATGGCCAGACAAAGCTGCAGGGGTGAGAATAAGCCTGTGAAAACGGCAAGGCAAGAACTCAGCGTGGACACTCTTCAGGAGGGTTATGGATGCCATGTTGTCATCCAGGACATTTCCCTGAGAGGGAAACCCCCGGCTTTGCAATTTCCTGGCCAGCGTGAGGGCCACCAGCCGGCTGTAACCTTTCCTGCGATGCTCTGGCAAGGTGTAGCCATGGCACATGGTGGCAAACTGGTCTGTGATAGACCAGGAGACTGGGTTTCCCTTCTCATCACGCACACACACACTGGGGAAGCAGGAGATGAGTTTGGTGATGTACCGGAGACACTGTTCATTGCCACCACGTGACCAAGTCTGGTTGAGTAGATCGGCATCGGCAACACTCAGGTAGGTTAGACGTGGGGGAGACTCCATTCTAGGAGAAAATGACACGAGTAGAAATATGAGCATGGCGTCCTGTGACTACAAATACCTCTATCTGTACTGATTCAACTGGAGAAACTGTCCTTCAGACAGTGCCCAATATTTTCTTTCTTTCTTTCTTCCTTTTATTTTTTAATTTTAGGCACATGTTCTTGCTACATAGAGAGAGAGAGAGAGAGAAAGAGTGAGAGAAAGAGCTGGAGAGACAGAGAGAATCCTCTAATGGGGAGTGGTCACACCAGTATCCTTTTTTCTCCATTCTCCATCCCATCAGGATTTTGGACATGCAGCAAATGCACACGACATGTTTTACAAGCTGCTGGGGCTGGGATTCAAACGGAGGTGAGCCATTTGGGATCTGGCTCCTAGCGTGCAGTATTTAACCACTGAGCAGTGGGCTGGTCCATGCCTAACATTTTCAGTGAGTCAGAACTCACTGTTTCCAACTTACAAATACCTCTCAAGTTTCATTTCTGATAAGACAAAATACTTATGCCAAATTTAAACCTGTCTTTTCTTTTTTTTTCAGTTTGATTAGAGCATGTGCACTTGCTGGAGAAAAACAGAGAGAGAGAGACAGAGAGAGAGGCAAAGTGAGAAAGCAGCCCCTGAGGGGATGCCCACCTCACAATCCCTTCTCCATGGATGGACATGTACACCCAGAGTGTTTTTCAACCTGCTGAGTCCAGGACTCAAAAAGCCTAGTTGGGGGGCCAGCAGATATTGTAATGGTGATGTTGCTGGACTCCCACATAGTTGACCACGGTTTGAGTCCCAGAGGCTTGAAGCTCACACCGAGTGCATATGTGTACATGTCCAAAATCCCGAGAGGAGAATAAAGGAGAAGGGATTATGGTGTGGCCATCCACCCTGGGGAGTGATTTCTTGCCTTCTGTCTCCCTGTCTTGCCATATCTCTCCAGCAAGTGCATGTGCCCGATAGCAGAAATTTCTCTCTCAAAAAAAAAAAAAAAAAAGAAAAGCATAGTCGGCCCGGAAAGATCCGGCCACCTTAACCACCACTCCACTGATGGACTTCCTTCTTATTTTATATCCACTTATTTTTGTTCTCAAAACAGTTAAAGGAAATTAATGAACTGCAATCTAAGTATGAAACCAAACCAAAATCAACCTCGGGAGTAAAACAACTGAGTTCAGCCAATCACTAGTAGCCTATTCATTACACTCTGCCCAAGTGAGGCGAATAGCCATCGGGTGATGTCTCCCCTCCGTGTCTGTGTGTGGCAGAAACTAAAACTTGCTGTGTATACTGCTGGGTAGGGCTCTCTGAATTTTAGTTTTGAACGCTGCCAGATTCATTCATCCATTTTTGCTCAAATAAATTCTGCTTGGGTGGGCCCTGCCACCTAGTGATTAAGGGAGCCACAGCCCCCATGACCTCCTGTGGTTGGAACCCCTTGAAAACCCTGGTGCATCTGTGGGCATGCCCAAAATCCAAACGGGATGGAGAAATGAAGAAGGAACTTCAGTGCCACCATGCCCCACTGGAAATGCTTTCTCTTTCTGGCAAGCACACAGATGCCCTGGCAATTAAAAAAAAAAAAAACTGCTCAATTTAATATTTCAAATAGTTTTATTTTTTCTCCTTTTCTTTCTTCTTTTTTTAAATTTGCTAGAGGGTACATGATGCATTCACTGGAGAGTGAGAGAGAGAGAGGTGGAGAAAGCAAGAAAGAGCACTTCATTGGGAACCACACTGCCATCCGTTTTTCCTTCCTTTTCTCCTCCTTTTGGGATTTTGGACATGCAAACAGGTTGGCATCTTTTTTCAAGCTACCAGGTCTGGGAATCAAACCACAGTTGGCCATGTGAGATCTAGCTGCTTTAACCATTATGCCACTAAATAGCCTGAAAGATACTGTTTTAATATTGTCTTTCTGTAAAATCAAAAAACAAAACCTCTTAGAATTTCTCTAAGATCAAGTTTGCTGAAATTCTATGAGGCTTTGAATAAATCTAGATTCTTGGAACCTTAACCTTTTTCTCAGCAAAACAAATGTTTTAGGCTAGACATTCTGTCTTTATGTGTAAGGTCCCACACAGTAAAACTCTCCTAAGCACCACTGGGTACCTCCCCAGACCTGACGAGGAACCAAAGCCGAACTTCTGCATAACTGCTCTTGGCAAGAGCTCACACCCAAGGTGTTGTTACTGCCAAGTCACACTGGCCCAGGGAGTCGCAGTAAAGACCCAGAGCGAGTCCTGGGAGGTCTAACTCCCTACAGGTGCATCAAAAGACCCACCAAATGTGAAATCATATATGCTTATTCCACTGTGCCTAACTCCCCTGCATATCAGTGGCACACACAGTCTCTCAGAATAGTTATGATGAAGCAGAGAGTATAACGTAACGAGTATAATGCCCGCAGATGTAATTTTTTTCTATGTTTATATAAAATTCAAATGATTATAATTAGAACAAAAATAGAGTAGCTTGATTACCCTATAAAAGGAGTCCCCTCTTCATGGTGGGAAGTGCCTGAGGCTCTTCCAGCTTCAGTCCCTCAGCACTTTCAATAAACTTTGCTTTTTTCTTGAGATGATGTTTCTTGAATCTTACTCCAGACTATGACATTATGTATTTATGTCCAGAAAGTAAATACAAACTGCTTAATATGCCAGGCATATTAATAATACGTGTATGCATTAAAAATGTTTGTTCTGTGAGAACTGCCCCTCGGTCTGTTCTCTAGGTGAAATATTCCCAAACTCGATCTTTCTGCATCAGCATTTTTATAGGCTTCACTATATTTATTCTAATTTTTGTGAACTTTCTATTAATTCACTGTATAAACCCTGAAATTCAGATTAAACAATGAAAAAGAAATTGGTGCAATTTCTAAGACCCGAGATCGATGACTTAGTTGAGAGCCTATGAGGCTGACCATTCTCGAAGGCACAGTTTCCTTCTTGAAGCTACTAATGTTACAAAACCACCCCCTGGTGACTGCTAAGAGGCTGGTAGTGTTCTTAGGATAATCTTTATGAAATACAAATTGGCTGATTTTCTTTTTATTGACAATGTGTGCTGTGAGCTCCCTTTTTAGACACTCAGCTATGGCACGGGGCCAGTCACCCAGCCATTAGCAGAAGTGAAAACAAAACAGTAACTGACTTAATGGGATTTTTTTATGCACCTTTCAAAGATGAACTTTGAAACAAGAGCAAAGAAATGTCAGGCAGACATGTCACTGTAAATAACAACATTGAAGATGACAATGTTTCAGGAAGAGTGACATTAGAGCTTCTGACCTTATGTCTGAGGGGCAGGGCAGGTGATTGCAAAAGACCTGACTGGGGACACCTGAATATTTTAAATGACACCTCAGGGATACAACAGTAAATAGACTGTGGGAGCCTCTAAAGAACAAATAGCCTGATTTCCTCAACCAAAAGTGCTATAAGAAAAAAAAAAAGATGAAGAGGAATTTGCCCATCAAAGGAAACTTCATATATATTAACCAATCCCAATGTATGAGGCTTATTTAGATACTGATTCGAATGAACTCAAAACAAACTTAAAATATTACGGGACATATGAACATTAGCTGCTTATTTTACTTTAAAGAAATATTATTAACAAAATATTAAGGGTTTGTGCAGAACAGTGTTAACATTGCAGATATGAGGCTATTATCTTTAGAAGGCCTGATTGCAAGTTGGCCTAGGGCTGGTGTCTGAGAACAGAGGTCTGTGGGGATCCTACTGTTCTCAGGACTGATACAAGTGGCCCTCCTATGAGTGACTAAACTGTACAAGCAATGAGGTTTATGTTCAATAGCACCGTGTTCAGCATAAATAAACAAACAGAGGCCCCCACAATCTACTTACTGTTGTATTCCTGAAGTGTCATTTAAAATATTCGAGTGTTCCCAGTCAGAGCTTTTATTTATGTTTATTATTATTATTATTATTATTATTAAAGTTTTTGCCATTATGGTGTGTGTACTCAGCAGAGAAAGACAGAGAGATGGAAAGTGAGAAATCACCCTCCCTCCCCCAAGGGGGGATGGCCTCACGGCAATCCCTTCTCCTCTAGGGATTTTGGGCAGGTGCACTCATGCATGTGATTTTGAAGCCACAGGGTCTGGGACTCACACTGTGGTCAGCCACCTGCTGTTCCCCACCCCTCCCCCACAGTCAGACCTTTAAAAATCAGTGTTTAAGTTGAATTGATCTCTCCTGCATAGGACTATCTGTCTTCAACATCTAAGTCACTATCCAAACTTGTGAACTCTATTTTGAATACCCTGCCCCTCAGATACAAAATTAGGGCCCCTAATGTAACTACCCTGAACTATGTACGTGTTTGATATTTTTATTTACAGTGACCTTTCTGTGAGTTAGGAAATTGGTTTGCACCTGGCAGAAGACACCTCCAATAAAAATCCTGGGCCCGAATCTCTAAGGAGCTTCCCTGGTAGACATGTCACACACAGGGCCCTAACTCAGTGCTGAGGAACCGAGTCTGAGCTGCGTGACTTCATTCAGGGAGGACGCTTGGAAGTCTGTGCCGGGTTTCTTCTGGATTTCACCCAAAGCACCTTTTCCCTTTGTTGATTTTGCTCTGTATCCCTGTTAATCATAGCTCTGAGTATGGCTATGTTCATTGAGTCCTGAGTGAATTCTCACCTTCCCTCTCTCTGTCTCTTTCCAACAAGCACACACTCCCTATGGCAAAACAAAACAAAACAAAACAAAACAAAACAAAACAAAACAAAAAAAGAAAAACACCAAACCATTGTTTAGAGACACTTTTTCAAATGTTTACAGATAATGTGTTAGGTTGGGGATGTTTCCATTAAAATAATCCAGGGGGTGTAAAGAGTATACAAAGGTATGGATCAAATAACATTATGTATTGGTAGGAGGTTCTTTATACTGTTCCCTCAACTTCTGTATGTGCTTGTAATTTTCATAATTAAAAAACATATAGTTGCTTTCTTTTGACTTAAGGTGTCCACTCTTCTTTAGGTTTAGTCTTTTTTTGCTCCAAAATTCCTTCAATATTTATCATAGAAAAGAAAAAAAAACCTCATTCATTAAAGTGGGTACAAGTATCTTGTTCCACTCTCTTATAAAAAAATGTAAAGAGGCATTTTTTATTAATTTTTGAGAAGAAACTGAAGCTCAGAAAGGTTGACTGAAGGGAAGGCAATTCCCAAATGAGAGAGCAGGGACTCCAAGGTAAGAGAAAAGAACAACAAACACCGATACAATCTAACAAATGTTTCGAAGATTGCTTTCTGAATGTCATGAGATTATTTCCTGGTTCTACAATGTACTATAATGTGTTACATCAATTTTGTTAAAAGAGGAATGAAAGCAATCCTACTTTATAGGATTGTGAAGAGCATTAAAGGGGTAATATATTAAACAATTGAATGAACTGGCTTCATAGCGTGGTGAAGTGCTATGTATTGGGAGTATGATCTCACAGAATAGACAGGGGTATGAATCCTAGCCCCAGCAGTTTGAAAACACACTAGCACATATGCATGCTTGCCCAAAATACTGATGGGGGCAGGAATGGAGGAAAAGGCTTGTGGTATGACCACCCTTGTTTGGGGAGGGGTGTTTTCCTTCTCACTCTCTCTCTCTCTCTCTCTCTCTGGTGAAAGAGCATGTGCCCTCTGGCAATTCAAAAGTAAATCCAGTGCTTACCACAGAAGAGATCATCACAGTAATTTTTTTTTTTTAAAGAGATTTTTGCCTTAGGGTGTGTATGCTTTTCTTGGGAGAGAGAGAGAAAGTCAGAGTCAGTGTGAGGGAAAGTGAGAAATCATTCCCCATACCACAATCACATCTCTACCATTCTCCTCCTGGGATCTTGGAGACACACACACACACACACACACACACACACACACACGTGTCTGAGTGAGTTATATGCCACTGAGTCTGGACTTGAACTGTGGTCGACTATGTGGGAGTCCAGCAATGTAACCACTACACCATCTGCTGACCCCAACGTAAGTTATCTTTAAGGCATATTATAAAGATACAAGTATCTTCACTTCATTTCTAAGTATGGACAAAGACACTGGCATGATTTTCAAGGAAATTATGCAGTCACTCTGCTCTCAAACATACACCCACCCACACACACACACACACACATGCACATGTACACATTTAGGCTCAATGGCCCGAATTCAAAGTACCTAAATATTCTGCAGTAAGGACTACAGTTACTGCTATCTATACTTCATAATAGTAAATCCTGCTCCAAATACAGAAACTTTGTTTACATACAGGAAACTGGTATCTGGCAGAGTTGAAACAGGAGAAAAACGAACAGCCATGAAGGAGGCTAGCTTTACATCCAACTGCTTTGAATTGGCCACAGCTTGGGTAACATCATATAACTCACTCTGCAGGCCTATGTACAGAAAGATATAATTTAAATCACATATCAATACAACCAGTTTGCCACCTTTTTATATCATATATCATCATTACAACCAGTTTGCCACCTTGTACTGTCCTAACCACTATGTATGTATAAGTGAATTACAGCTCTTCCCTCTCTGCTGTTCACAATTCTGTAGGATATTTGAACTCTCATCCTGTTCCCCACCATAACCACTTAGCATGACCTTTCACAGAAATCTCAATGGGAATATCTCATGGGAATTTGGAATTTCTTTTCTTTTTTATTTGTAAACATTTATTTTCTTGAACTGAAAAAGGCTTACATCAGCACGCATCGTACAGCCTTACAAATTACACAGAAATTGTAAAGAAGATTCCTTGTTCATAAGTACAATGATCTTTGTTGTCCAGTAACCTGCTGCAAACAATGAAAACAAATTTTAAACTACTTAAGAAGTTTCCAGCACTCATTAAATGCATTTCCTTAGGTGACAAAATAATCCACAATAGGGGACCAGCAGTTAGCGTAATGGCTATGTCGCTGGACTCCCATGTAGTTGACCACGGTTTACATCCCGGACCCCGTGGCTTAAAACTCACACCGGGTGCGCGTGCATGCGTGCCCAAGATCCCGAGAGGAGGAAGGAGAAGAAGGGATTGCGGAGTGGCCATCCCCCCTGGGGGGTGATTTCTTGCTTTCTGTCTCTCTGTCTCTCTGGCGAGCACACGCACCCCATAGCAAAAACCTCCCCCAAAATAAACAAATAAATAAATAAAATAATTCAGAAGGAGGGGAATGCAAATAAGTGACATTTAGCTATCAGAGGGACACTTAAAAAAAAGTGGAAGCATTTTCCTGCCTAGAATGATTCCTATTCCCACTTGAATCTAAGTGGTTTGATTAAGAGGAATTAAGAACATAATTTACTTTACACTCAGTGTTCTTTATTTCTGTTTTTAGCTCCTCAAACTGATCCTAAGCTCCTTAGGACACATTATATATACCTCTAAAAGTCCACGATTTACCATATAGCCAGGAGTGTGGTCACATAGCTATAAGACTGTGGGTATGTTTGGTGTGGCAAGCCAAGTTTAAAGACTCTCTTCCAACACGCTGCCAAAATGCCCATTACAGAATAAGAGTTATAAACTCAGAGTTGGTAAGATTCATCTTGAATTTAACCCTGGCCCCACTTACTTATCATAGCTATCCAACATTATCTATAAATCTTTACTCAGTACCTGATGTAGTTAAAGCACGGAGCTGGGCACTGCTTCACAGGGTACACAAAAATGGCGTCGGCCATGTCCTACAGTGCTAACCGAGGATTTCTCCCTCCATCCTTCTCAGTCCCTATCTACTTTATAGTTTATCGTTTCCAGTCTGCGTCTTGGAAACTGACTTTGCTTCTTCCCTCCAAATGTAAAGATTTTTTCTTTTTCTCCCCTGTAGTGAGCTGTTTCTCCCAGAGTGGCCCTGAGATTTCATGAAAAATACACAGATGGGAAGGCATATTGAACAGAGTGTGATATCTAAGCTTTGGCTCCTCCTCAGCATGGGGAATAAAAAGAAGCAGTTCTTCAAGATGATGCTATTGAAGTTATAGATTCTGTGGCTAGCTGTCTATATTAGAATATTAAATTGCATCATTATTTCTAAACATCAATTTAGCAATTGTTTTAAAAACTTGGGACCAGCAGATGGCATAATGGTTATGTGGCTGGACTTCTACATGGTTGACTGTGGTTTGAGTCCTAGACCTGGTGCCTTAAAACTCCAGCCAGGCATGTGTGTGCGTACCTAAAATCCTGAGAGGAGAATGGAGGAGGAGAGATTAGAGTGAGCACACACACCCTATAGCAAAAATCTATCTCTGAAAAAAGGAAAAAATACTGTATAAATTATAAAATCTAACAGGTACAGAAAACTGCATCAAACAAATATATAGCTTAATTATGACTTTTCACTACCACCAAAGCCACGAAACAGAATTGAACTATCCTCCTTGTATTTACCATTCTCCCAATCACAATGAACTCTCTTCTCCACCAAAAATAATCATTATCATAATTTTTTGTTTACTACTTTGAGCAAACGAGTTTCTCCTTTCTCACAAGAAAAGAGAACGTCCACATAATTCTTGGTTTTTGTCCACCCTACCTCCTTAGAAGGGGAGGAGTTGTTGGCTGGATAAACTAGAACTGGGGCATTTATGAAACCACAGTTACTGTCTGTGATAGGCTTCTGAAACTTCCAGCTGGTGCTCATGTGACGATTCTCCTCTTGACCATGTAAACACTAGTGAGCAAAGATCCTGGCCTGTCTGGGCAGCTGTACATGTTTTCACTTCCTGCCCTGGCAGGGCAAACACAAAGGGTTGAACTCTTCTGGTTAGGTTAGTGGGCTAAACCTGGTTTAATACTGTTTACCATGGCTCCTAGATTAAAAATGATGCAAGTGTTTCTGTATAGAGTGTGTGGTTCTGGACACTCAGTGCTGAAGAAGTTCTGCCACTTAACGCTTGATCTACCCAGCAGCATGACTAGCAGCTCCCACTGGAGTCTGCACTGTGGGCAAAAGATAAAAGGTTGACTATTAATATGAGCAGTAGGTAGGCTTTGGAATTGTTCAGCAGTTGGAAATATTATGAAAACAGAGAAGATTTGTAACCTTTTGAAGTGCTCTGATTAAGAATAGTAAAGACACCGGTAACTTCTCAGAGGTTATTGAGTGTTCCAAGGAGATTGCAGTTATTACCACAGAAGTCTATAGTCAAAGACCACATCAGAAACCAAGCATTATGCTCATGCCACTCCCATGCTGCAGGAGGGAACTTTACCAGTCCAGCTATATTAGATGCTGGTAATTCACATCTATCCCTACCAAATCTTCAGGAAGGATGACTGGGTCAATTTCGATGGCTGTTACTGACTCATGACTATTAGTTCAGCCTCCTGGAAAAAATATTGGCAATTATAAGTATGTCCTCTTTGTAATGAACGATGGAGGTAATTTAAGATTAGATGGTATGTAGCATCAAGATCCATCCAATTACTTATTTTTCATACCTAGGAAGAAATTTATTTATTTCCCAATTAAAGTAAGACTAGTGATTTTTTTTTTTTCTAAACTGGCTAAAAGACTAGAACAACGTCTCATTTCTAACCAGCATAACTGGGGTAATTTTTTAAAAATGAGAATGATCATTCCCCAATTTATTTTTTCAAAGATTATTTTATTTGTTATTATTATTTTTTAATTTGTTAAAGGGCACCTGTGCTCACCAAGAGACAGAGAGCAGAGGGTGGAGGGAAGTGGTAGTGAGAAAGCAAGCTGCCAGATCTGGGACTCAAACGGTAGTCATCCATGTGGGAGTTCAAATAAGCAAGCAAATGTAACCACCATGCCACCTGCTGGCCCCAACTGGAGTGAATTTGTAGAAGTGAGAGATTTTATACTTCCAACATAGAAAACCTACTTTCCTGTCAAATGACCAAGAAACTAACTCACTTCATGGAGACAGTCATAAACAGCAATTTCATTGCCTGTGTCAACCCCCATTCATTGCAAAATGTAAGGAGTAATTGATACGCTGAGGCTGGAACACCCCATCCAAACTGTAAGAAGCTAGCACTGTTCCACTTTCTTAGCACAATGCTCTGCCACTAGCACTGATGGCCACTCAGTTACCTCTGCAGAATTCACATAGGTTCCTGCTTTACAAAACCATTTTTGGACATTCTCTAAAGATAGATTGACACTTCTTCTCAGAATCATCTGTTTCAGGATGAATAAATGCCTTACATATTGGTTAAACTTAAATCGATTACTTTGAAAGACTGTGATGGAAAAGATTAAAAGCAATAAGGAAAATACGTTTTTAAAATTTTATTATTATTATTATTATATATTGATCACTATACATCATTTGGCTGGAAAAATATGTTTTGATAGTCACTGATAATTCATATTACAGTAACAGTAGAAAAAAAAAATCACATAAAAGTAGATCCATTTAGATGGCCTCTGTCTTCTCTGAAGACCAAGCCTTATTGAGAGGTCAGTTGGTGTCAAGGTGGTAAATATAGCTGGATCCCACACGGACAGCTGGGCAGCTGGAGGACATGTTAGTTTATGTGCATGTGCCTGTGTACCCCAAATTCTGAGACGAGAAATGAAAGTGAAGGGATTGTGGTTTGGTCATGGGGGGTTTGGATTGTGGTTTGGTCATGCTTTCTCTCTCTTCTCTCTCTCTTTCTCTGTCTGTCTGTCTCTGGTGAGCATATTGGCCTCTAGCAAATTAAAAAAAAAAAGAGTAACAAATGTTCTTACAATTGACTCTAATGCATGAATATACATATTTATAAATACACATACATATGAAATATTTATCGGCTATATATATATGTATATATATATATAATAAAAGGGGGAAATGCATACGGTAAAACTTTCACTTGATCTCACCTTGTATTTGGAAAACCTGGTCCCAGTTAATAACATCACGTTCTTCTAACAGCTGTCGGTAAGCCCCGACGTCCTTGTAGAACACAGCATAGGCGTTAGTGTAATGGTCAAGATCGTCTGTCTCAGCCTAGGACAGAAGATAAAATCATAAAAACATATTCTCTGGCTAACTAAATCCTAGATAAATTAGATATGATCAGCCGTGCACATAGAGCTAATTTTTTCTTACCAAAATTAGTCACCTATAAAACAATGGCCAAATGGGAGTGGGACCAATATGCTGCAGTGAAGGGTAGAGCAGATGGTTTGTAACTTTTGCTTGATTTTTTCATCTGGAATTGGGGAGGTTTTAAGACATTTATTTCATATTTTCCTAGCATTTTATTTATTTGTAAAAAAAAAGAGGACATCAGCCCAGCCACAAGCACACAGCGTGTAGGGCATATTGAGCAATACTGAAGCCATTTGGGAGGCCCCAGGTTTGGATCCTGGGTTGACCTGAATCCACTGGCACCCCTGTGATCCTGGCTGACTGGAAGGCTGGGGGAGGACTGTGGTGTGGTGCCTGCTCAGGGTTGCTTCTTTAAGCAAACAAACAAACTTAAAAAAAAAAAAGAAAAATGTTTATCTTAACAGATCTTCCCCAACTCAAAACTCTCAGAACTTCTTAATGTGGTGAGGACAGTACATTTCTGACCACTTGAGCCTCTTCTTAGTCTCACAAGCAGAATGGAGTGAAAATTGTTTTATTTGTTTATTTTTTCCTATATATTTTATTTTTTTATACATTTTTTATTTATTATTTTTTCATTTCATTTTCTTGCATACATTCAATCACATTATTATTTGTCTTACAAAATGGATATTTCAACAGGTGAACATTTCTCCCTAGTACTGTTGATAAAACTACGAAATATCTTCAACAGATAATACCACACCTCTTTGTGCCATTAATGCTTTTCCTCCCTGTCCCTCCCCCAAATGTCCTTCCTCAGACCCTCCTCTTTCACACACACTATATCTGGTATTTACATCTATATACTGCATTTCTATATCCTTTAGTCAATTAGTTTCAGTCCTAGAGTGCAGAAACTCGGTATATATTAAGTGGGGACATACAATGCCTCTCCTTCATAGGAAAATTGTTTTATTAATCTTCTTCAATACTTATCCACATGACAAGAGTCGTCAATTATAAGGAATCATGTACCCAGTGGAACAGCTAGTAAGAAACACTAGGGAATTTTTTTTTAATTAAATGTGTTTGAACTAGAAGTTTATATTATAAAGGCCTGACATGCCAAAGCCAGTAAAATAAGAAACTAACAGTGAATTAAGTAGGATGTAAAGATAATTTTCTAGAATGGTGAACTGGACTGAGAAGAAACGTACACATGTTGGAATATTCACTTTGTAAGCTCAGGCATATGATAGAATGTATAAAAGAAATAGAAATAAAGAGAAATACAAATTTTAGAAAGATAGCATATATGCCTACTTTGATTATACTATCTTCTTTACCTAATCTTTCTTTCTAACTGATACCGGATCTTAACTATTTTTATTTCTTTTCTTTCAGAACGGTACCTCTCTCCATCGCCGAGTGATAACAGCTTTGAAGTCTGGCCATGAATCCAATACCACTTCCTTTTGAAAGGGATTCCCACGGTTTATGTTCATCACTGCTCCATAAACCTGCCAGAAAAGCCAGAGATGAGCCGTCACCCTGCCAGATGTTTCAGCTACATATTATCCTCTTTGCTTCTTGCCATACAGTTATGGCCATGAGAGATAAAGTTATAAATACACCCACAGGGCTGAGTGGTGGTGCAGCAGGAATGCATTCCGCCGAGAAGCTGACTCACACGGGAAAGTTCCAAGCTCGTGTCCAGATACCTCTGTACATGCTGGGTGTGTGCACACCTGTGATCTGGGGCTGGCTGAAGCTGAGGGTGGATTGCAGCACGGGTACCCTGTTGGGGTGCTTGTCTCTCTGTCTCTCACTCTGAATCACTCTTAAGCAAGAGAAATAAGTAAACTTATATACACACACATATAAACTTCTCTGTGCTATTTCATCAGTTCATATAAAAAGAGAGAAGTCTGTGAAAGCCTGCGAAATCTCTCCCCAAACCTATTTTTTATAATATGGGAGTGAGTGGTACCAAATCCACAGGCTTACTAGATGGGTGCTTAGTGGGCAGGTCAGGAATAAACACTTGCTGAATGAATCAGAATCTGCTGTGTGGATTTAGGATTCATACATATTCAAAATTGAGTGTTTTCTTGAGCGCACATGCACATGTGCCTGGCATGAGTTTAAGCTACCGGGTCCAGGACTCAAACCGTGATCGACTACATGGGAGTCCAGCAACACAGTCATTACACTAACTGCTGGTCCCATGCTCAGTTGCTTTTGAAGCTCTGAATCAACTGCTTTTGAATCTACCGCTGGGCTTCAATCCGAAAGAAAAAAACAAAAAAAAAACACAAAAAACCTGTGAAGCACAAGTTCTTCTTCAACCCTGAATTAGAATTAAACATCATCTGAGAGTGAAACAAACCCACATGAAAAACAAGCAACCAGGTAAAGAAAAACCTGCATTTCACAGCTGATGGAACAAAGCTCCGTAAGCATCCCCTGAGGGCCTTAAATGTCTTGCTCATTGCTGTATCCAGGACGCCTGATACAATTGATCAAAGGCTTGGTGACTGAACAATACTGGAGTAATATTAAAATTGTCCATAGCTTTCTACAATTTCTTTCTCCACTAAGAAAGATGTTTGTCCTACAAAGTAACATTTACATGTTACATGTATGCTTGCAGCGGTGGGAGAAAGTCATGATAACAAGCGATACTGAGCTGTACGTCAATGTTCACAGCACTTTCATAATCAACAAAAACTAGAAACAACCTAAATATCCCTCAACAGTAAGACGAATACACAAATTGTGGCACATACACACTGGATTACAAAACAGCAATGAAAGTGAATGGACTACGGCTACATGGAATCACTAAGAATTTTACAAACACAATGATGAGCTGAAGAAGCTGGATACAAAATATATTTATTGGTGATCCAATTTATATTATATTCAGAACTAGCAACACTAAATTTCGGGTTTGGAAGTCAGGATAGTGGCCACTGGGGGAGCAGGGAGAGGTAGTAGTTGGTGTAGGGAGTGCCTTAGTGGATACAGTGTTTGTGCTTACACTGCAGGGCATGAGAAAGCTCTCAACAAAGACATAATCTACTGGGGGTTTTACAGATAGAAAAAACCTGAGCATTAACCAGAGAAGGCCAGGAGAGGCGTGTTTAGAACCATAAGCTGTGGGATGTGAGGTGCTCCACAGCTGAAGCACGAGGCTTTCTGGTCCCTATAAAAGAATGAGCACAGAACGACTTGGGGCCACAGTAATCTCCATCAGAGATGCCTGGTTTGCCCGAACCTCACTTTTCTCGGTCTGCTCTCAATCCACAGTACTTCCCCACAGGGCATTCCATCTCTCTGCTGCCAGGCTGTGGCAGACTGTAAGGAGCATGGAGGTGGGGAGGAGCAGCATTTCATGCATTTTGTATATATTCTTTCTCAGTGAGTGGTTGTTTGACAGATACCCATTTGTAAAAACTCATTGAACTGTGGGGCCAGGTACACAGTGGTAAAACATGAAGCTATGCAAGGTGGTTTCACATGGGAAGGTTTCTGGTTCAAATCTGAAGATGCCCCTAAGTAGGCTGGACATGTGTTTGCCCATGATCCAGGGCTAGCTGAAGGCTGGGGGTGGATCTTGGCATCAAGATGCTGTGAGGAGTATTCTCTCTCTCTTTCTCTCTCTCACTCATGGAAGGAATAAATACACTTTAAAAATTCAGTAAGCTAGGGACCAGCAAATGGTGTGGTGGTTGAGTTGCTGGACACTCCCACATGGCCAACCACGGTTCAAGTCCTGGACCTGGTGGCTTGCTTTTTCACATTCCCTCTCTCTGTGCGTCTCTCTCTGGTCAAATTAAAATAAGTAATGAATAAATAAAATTAAATAATTCTTTTAAAAAGTTCAGTGAGCTGTATAGCTATATTATGTGTACTTTTCGTTTGTTTTTCATCAGAGGACGCATGCACTTATCAAAGACAGAGCGTAAAGGAGAGAGAGAAAGCACTTCCCAGTGAGGACTGTTCAAGCCAAAAATACTATATTCCTGTATTTCTCCGCCTGTCAGGATTTGGGGCACACACATAGTCTCTCTCTCTCACACACACACATAGTCACACACACACACACCTGGTGTGTTTTTCAAGCCATGAGGACCAAGATTTGAACTGCGATATTCCATGTGGGCTCTGGCTTTCTACATATAGGGCTTAACCACTGTGGTATGGGGCTAACCCTGTGTGCACTTGCTAGGATGTATTAGACTTCAAGGAAAATTTAAAAAAAAAATGTTAAGGGCACTGAGACTTACATTTTACGTTCTGTATCACTATCTTAGTCTGAATCACTTACCTTTTCTCAATGCCTAGAACATTATACACAACTTTCTTCTGTTTTACCTAATCTGGGACCTCACTAAAATATTCTTACAGAATATGTCTTTCCAAAGTGATTTCAGCTTATATCACCATCATCCTTACTGTAAATCTAAAAATGAAAAGAACCTAAAGGATCGTGCATGTTCTGCCAGTCATTAAATGCCCTCACTGCTCCTCTGGTATATAATGTGCAGAGTAATATTTATTAAAATGGGTTCATATGAAGAAACTGTTCATCCTTGAGAATGTAGCCTAACTATGATTGAAATGTCCAGAAGGTTAAAACGGAAAAACTGTTTTTTTAGTCAGATTCTGAAAGAAAAACTTGTAACTTATTTGCTTAAGACTTGGAACAAGGCAGACCCATAGTCTAGTGGTTAAGGAAGCTGTACCCCACATGTCTAACTATGGTTTGAATCCTAGTTCCAATGGCTTGAAAAATTCACCAGGGACATGTGTATACATGTCCCAAATCCTGACAGTTCAGAGACCTGGAGAAAGAATTGCAGCATCACCATGCCCCCAAAAGGGGGTGCTTTCTCTCTCCCCTTTTCTTTCTCTCTCTCTTCATGCATACCCTGTTGTAACTTTTTTTTTTTTTGGAGAGGTTTTTGCTATAGGGCAAAAACCTTAACACAAAGACAGAGGGAGACAGAGAGACAGAAAGTGAGAAATTGACCCCTAGGGAGGATAGCCACACTGCAATCCCTTCTCCCTTCTCCTCTTGGGATCCTGGGCATGCATGCATATACAGCTGGCATGAGTTTAAGCCACCAGGTCCAGGACTCAAACCGCGGTTGACTACATGGGAATCCAGCGACATAGCTATTAAGCCAACTGCTAGTCCCCACCCTTTTGTAATTCAAAAGAAAAAATTTGTAACCAATTGAAAGATTCAGTATGCAGTTAAGAACAAACAAACTCATCAATATTATTTAATCAAAGGGTGAGAATGAGCTAAGAGAGAAAAATGGCTAAAAGGAATTAAAGACGTGGGGAGAGGGCCAGCCTGTGGTATGGTGGTTAAGGCAGTTGGATCCCACATGGTTAACTGTGCAGGCTGTGTCTTGAGGCTTCCCTCTACGCACTAGTAGAACCTGTACTTATGATCCTGGCAAGAGGAGGGTGGGGGAGGCCTATCCCCTCTCTCTGTCTCTGATGGAAGAAATACATTAACTTTATTTTTTAAAATAAACATTCTTAAGTTTATAGTACCTTGAGTGATTCAGGAAAGTGATTCTTCAGTATTTTCTCCAGTATCAGTAATTTGGTTGAACAGTTTAGCACCAACATCTTTCCAGAGATCCTGCAATTCCACACCTAATTAGGAACTTGAAAGTATACATTTAATTTTGCTTGTTAACCTTTGAACCTACTTAGAAGTATCCTTGTAGTCCTGTTTCATTTGGTATAATTCCAATTACCACTGCTCCCTCTGAAGGGGGCGGGAGGAGGAAGTTGAAGAGGCACTGGTTTGGTAAGCCAGAGAACACAGGGCAATGGAGGTGTTGGAAACCCATGTCTGGAAAGATGTGCATACCTATATTGGGTTAAGTCTTTCTATTATACACATACATTGTACTCCGGAGTCTTCTCTCAGGGCACTTGCAGCAGTGATAATTTTATATTTATTTTTCTTTAACTTAAGTGTGTCTAAAGCAGCTGGGGAGCTGCATGGAAGAAAGGCCCATTTCTGCTTCGTGCTTGAATGTATCCACAGCACCTGCCACAGGGCCTGGAACACAGCAGAACATCCTAGATAGCAGCTGAAGGGATGATGTGAAGTTCAGGGTCAGATCATGGGGTTAAGTAGGACAACAAGCTCTTTTTTCAAAATGTGGGTCAAGAGGGGAGATACACTTGAGTTGGCCAGGTGGTTACGAGGAACAACTGGGAGAGAAACACCTAGACCGAAGATGAAGAATCAGATGGGAGCACAGGCTAGGCTCCTTACACCCAGGCACAATTAAGGGAGGGATGAAAAGGGCCTACATATAACGTACGTGACCTCATCTGTTCTCGTGTAGTTACGTTTTTTAGATTCTAGGGCTACACCTGTTGTTTGTTCCCAAGAAAAATCTTCCCCCAATCAGGGATTCCAATCAGGAATGGACTGAATCAAAGAAAAGAAAACAAACCAAAAAATCCCCAAGTGTTCTTTTCTACAGTCAATATGGCAGTCAAGCACTGGGGGTGGGAGCAATGACAACTCAGCTGGAGAACCTGGGCTTTGGGGGTTGTGATGGGTAGCTGTGATCCTTCCTTTCTGGTACATTTTCCAGATAGAGGAAGGTGCTTGATTTCTCTGTGTGGCATACCGCTGTGACTATAAGATACTATGAATGCATCCGTTGTGATTTTTTTCCCCAAAGCTTATCATAAAACCCCACCGTAAGATTTATGTGAGTCTGACATTCTAGGAAGTGCATGATCCAGCACCTGTGCCCCCTAGTTCACTGAATGGTACACCTAAAGTGTTTGTGTTCTCTACAGGAGTAGGAAGAGACACCATGGGCCAGGGTAGCACCAGAATGTCAAGAGGATTTTGGACACCAGTGCTCAGTCTGGGCTGATAATAGAAACTCTGAAAAGATCAAGTTTTCAGGTTTCAGAATGAGCACAGAAAGAATGTAGCTGTCACCTCCTCACCCCTGTATCTACTTGACTTTTCCTTTACTCAAGTCAACTCCAAGTGAAATGGTAACTTAGGAGCAGATAGTTATGTTAAACACATTTATTTATTCTAATTCAATATCTCTTAATAGAAGATGAAACAAAATTATTTCAAAGGGCAGTTGATCACGAATCTCTTCATTATGATGTCTAGAGAGCTTTCTCTGCCCTAATATTAGGTTGTTGGAAAAGTCATAACACATTTTCGCATGGGAAAACAGAAAAAAATACGTCAGCAAGGTAGCTAATGCAAAGAGCAGAAATTACAAGTATTGGTGGATAATTTACTTATTATCTGGTTTTCCCCTCAAAAGAGCCAAAGCCATTTATGAAAATAGATAAACTATATCAAGAAAAATTAAGCTTAAATTAAAATTCAAGCAATAGGAAAAAACAGGAGTACAAAGGAAACATGAAGTCAAGAGTGAGATTAGCAGCTGAAGCATATAGAAAACAGTCCCATATGTACTGCTGACCCTTCTTATTCACTCTGTATTTGTGAATTCACTAACTTACTAACATTTATTTGTACCCACTACATCAACACTTCTGATCAGTGCTTCTGCAGTTGCTCGCAGGGTGGTCACAAAATTTGAGTCTCTCAACACACATCTCTAGCCTGGGTTGAACTTGGTGTGCTCCGCCTCCTTGTGTCTGCTCGCAGACCATGAACAAAGGTCCTTCCTGTGGGCTATTCAGGGCCATGTGTTTCAGGTTTTTGTACTGGGTGTGTGTGTGTTTTAAAATTTTGCTGTTTAAAATGGCTCCCAAGCATAGTGCATAAGTGCTATTTAGGTATTTCTGATACAAAAAGACTGTGATGTACTTTATGGAGAAAATACAAGAGTTAGGTGAGTTTCATTCGGGCATGAGTTACAGTGCTCTTGACCAAGAAATCAATAACAATGGAACAATATACATTGAATGATGTACCTTTAAACAAAACCCATTGACATAAGGTTATATGTTGATCTGGTGTGATGAAAGTATTGTAGCCAGAGGCTTGCAAGAACCTAACTGCACTTCTTTGCAGGAACAATGTGTCAGTCTTAGCCAAGTCAGCGTTTGACGTGACTTTATTGAACATAACTCTCACACATAATGAGAACTGAATGCACTTGCTGGAGGCCAGAGACCACTTTGACTCTAAGCTTTCTGGTAGTTACTACAGAGAGAAACAAACATGATAAATTATATGGTTCAATTTGTTCATCAAATTATCCTTATGCTTTTTCTTAGCTTTTGTTTGCTTTTTCAATTATACCATATCTAAAGTACAGTTCTCTTACTTCATCACATTTAAAATCCTCCCTGATCAGGTTTCAACCTATTTGTCTAGACACTCTTGTAACTCACAAATTACTCGGGGTGACAAATTAAAATCAGAAAGAGAGCTCTCCCATGGGTTCACACAGAGAGGACACTATAATTAATGTCCAACATTTGGCATTTACCCTTTCAGTGAACAGTAAGCTCACTCTTTCTTTCTCTCTCTTCCTTCCTTCCTCCCTTCCTTCCTCCCTCCCTCCCTCCCTCTCTTCCTTCCTTCCTTCCTTCCTTCCTTCCTTCCTTCCTTCCTTCCTTTCTTTCTTTTTTTTTTTTTTAGAGAGATTTTTTTGCTATAGGGTACGTGCACTTGCCAGCGAGACAGAGAGACAGAAAGTGAGAAATCCCCCTCCGAGGGGATGGCCACACAACAATTCTTTCTCCTCCATTCTCCTCATGGGATTTTAGACATGCACGCACACCCACTTGACTTGAGTTTCAAGCCTCCAGGTCCAGGACTTGACCCACGGTTACTGACAGTCTAGCAATGTAACCATTACACCATCTTCTGGTCCCAACAGTAAACAACTTTATAGAACTCTTTCGTTAAGATTTTTTTAAATGCCACAAGCAAAATACAGACATTCTGATAAATACAGAAAACAATTTTATACATTTTTTAATTATTTTAGAAAGTCATTGTGACAACTACAGTATTTACTCTGAAAGCTACAAGGTCACAATGTCCTATCTTTGCCACTCAAAGATCCTCCAATATGTGTTCTGGAATTGGTAGGTAAGGGTTTGTAACGTTTTTAACCAAACTGCTATCAATAACAGACTCAATAATTCGCTCACTCTTTGCCAAGGAAAGTAATGTAAGTTTTAGGAAATAAAGTTTCATCAGCACAAAGCAAGCACTTAAAGTATTTCGGTTAATATTAATCATACAATGAAAGCATAAGGCTCTCCCGGGATATGTTTAGTTCTTATATACAAAATTAACGTCTCTATTTTAATAGAGCAATACACTGCTTTCAATATAATGATGAACGTTCAATAATGATAATAAAGTCTTTTTAAGGACTTGTAATCCATTGCTAGTAATTGTTTTATATTACAAGGTGCTTGTTCTCAGAGATTATTCTCTTTTATCTGTTGATCTAACTGTGCCAATGTTAAGTGTAAAGAACTTTATACTTCATGTTTATTTTTCCTGTATTAAAATTTAAGAGTAAAAACAAAGGCAAAAGCACATCGAAAAAAAAAATCGAAGAAATATTTCCTTCTAAATCACAAAGGCAAAAGCACATCGAAAAAAAAAATCCAAGAAATATTTCTTTTTAAATTGGATTATATTCTTTTTATTTCAGATCAAACTTCATCTATTTCTCCCATTTCTTCCTCGAATTATAAGCTGATGATTTGGACTGTATTACTTTTATAAATAAATGCTTACCTGCTGTTGAGAGTTTAGCCTGAAACTGAGATTTTCCAGCTGTGTGCCAGGGCAGTAGCTCCTTCTATATAAATGGTAAGTTTATTCTTCAAGGCTACTTCTCTAATTGGTCCTTAGTGAAAAGAGAAGAGGGAAAAAAAAAAAAAAAAAAAAAACACTCCTCCTCTACTTCCCCCCTCCCCCAGAGGGGTGGAGTTGATGACGTCTTTAAGGTGAAAATGATCTCATTTACAGCAAAGGTATTTTCACTCCATCTCTTCCTTTCTATCACATTCAGTCTTCTGCTGTAAAAGCTCATGAATTCAGAGATAGACCCTTTCTAGACATAAAATCTATGTATTTATCAGAATCTCACAGAAAGGAGTAAAAAGAAAGGGGACCCAGGCAAATAAGGGTACAATAACAAAGCACTACGAAGGTACTAGTCCCTTAGGTATTTTGATCTATTCTTGAGAAAATAATTTTGGGGCCTTAACTTCCAAGGAGGAAAGAGAAGCATCTTTATTTTGTTTTCCAAGTTTGATAAATACTTTATTATTTTCCTAGTTGCTTTGTGCTTTCTTATTTCTATTCATATTCCTTGCACTTTTTAAATGTGTTTGTTCTTTGTACATTCAATCACCGTATATCATTACAGCATGCAAAACGAATCTTCCTAACATGAGTATACTGCATATTAGTCCAAAGGTATTATCACACACGTTATCATCAACAGATGGTTTTCCATTTTTGTGTCCTTAAATATTTTTCTTCTTTCTTTTTCCTCTTGATTCCCTTCCTCTCACCTAGAAAGATAGTACTTGTGGAACTGAGAGAAATTTTGAGAATTTAAATTCCTTCACTTTATTCTTTTAAGTGAAAAGTTGCTAAGTGTTTGCTACTGTTCTTCAAATGC